AAATAAAACAAATAAATAACTGAGATAACAAGCTGTCTAAGATAACTACCAACTAACACTGACAAACTAATCAAAGGTTACATGTGCTGTCATACGAACACAGTGGGGACCACAGCCGTGGGGCCCACATCAGTGTTCTCTACACTCCCCCTCAAGTTGGGAATATATATTTGTCATTCCCAACTTGAATAGGTCTGCYTCTAACTTCTTCCTTGGAACGGCCTTGGTGAAAAGATCTGCAAGCTGCATGTTGGAGGTAATATACGGGAGACACACTTCTTGTGATGAAACCCTTTCTCTGACGAAGTGTCGATCAACTTCGATATGTTTAGTTTTGTCATGCTACATCAGATTGTGAGCTATATTAATAGCCGCCTGATTATCACAATACAACATCAAGGGCTTCTCATAATCAATACCCAAACTCTTCAAGTAGTGACTTCAACCATAGGATTTCAGCCACTCCGTTAGCCATTGACCTGTATTCAGCTTCGGCACTAGAGCGGTAAATAGTACTTTGTTTCTTACTCCTCCAAGAGACAAGGTTACCTCCTAGAAGGGCACAATATCCAGAGGTAGACCTCCTATCATCAGCACTCCCAGCCCAATCAGCATCTGTATAGACCTCCACCTTCATGTGATTATTGTTCTTGAACAGTATACCTCTACCTGGGCATTTCTTCAAGTATGCTAATATTCTCTCAGCTGCAAGAAGATGTGTAGTTCTAGGGGAATGCATGTACTGGCTGACAACACTGACTGCATAACTGATGTCTGGCCGTGTGAGGCAGAGATATAGGAGCTTTCCAACCAATCGTTGGAACATAACTCTGTCTTCGAGAGGCTCTCCACCCTCTGCACTGATCTTGTGATTCTGTTCAATGGGTGTATCGGCAGGCTTGACACCTAACTTTCTAGTTTCCTCCAACAGATCTAGAACATACTTCATTTGAGAAAAAAAGATCCCCTGTTTAGATCTAGCAACCTCAATACCCAAAAAATATCACAGTGCACCAAGATCTTTCACCTCAAACTCTTGATGAAGGAGCTGCTTGAGGGACTCAATCTCACTATTATTATTCCCTGTCACTACGATATCATCCACATACAGCAAGCAAGGTCAAAGAAGAGTTCACTCTTTTAACGAACAGTGTATGATCTGACTGGGCCTGTACATAGCCGAATTTTCCWAGGGCTAGTCTGAATCTATCAAACCAAGCTCTAGGGGATTGCTTTAATCCATACAATGCCTTATTCAGTCGGCAAACCTTCTTACCTGTATCTGTATCA